GGATTTATTAAAGGAATCTGGTATGCTGGGGTGTAAGCCGGTAGACACTCCTATTGTTGAAAAGCATCATCTGTGTTTGGATCCTAATCAGAAGTCAGTTGATAAAGGGAGATATCAAAGACTTGTAGGAAGACTAATTTATTTGGCTCATACACGTCCAGATATCGCCTATGCTGTAAGTGTAGTAAGTCAGTTTATGCATTCACCGAGCGTGGATCATATGGCTGCTGATATGCGTATCCTAGCATATTTGAAATCTGCACAAGGAAAATGAGTTCTGTATGGGAAGCACAGGCATTTGAAGATTGAGGGGTTCACAGATGCTGATTGGGCAGGTAATATCAGTGATATAAGATCTACTTCTAGGTATTTTACTTTCGTATGAGGGAATTTGGTTACATGGCGAAGTAAAAAACAGAAGGTGGTATCACGGTCTTCAGCTGAGGCTGAGTACAGGGGCATGGCCCACGGCATTTGTGAAATTCTTTGGCTTCGAAACTTCTTTGGAGTCTTGGGTTTAAAACAAATGAGACCGTGAAACTATATTGTGATAACAAGTCAGCGAGAGATATAGCTGATAATCCGGTTCAGCATGATAGGACAAAACATGTAAAGGTTGATCGACATTTCATTAAAGAGAAACTCGAGAAGAAAATTGTGTCTATACCGTTTGTGAAATCGGATGAGTAACTTGCAGATATTCTTACTCATGCGGTGTGTAGTCGAAAGTTTGATGACTCACTTATCAAGTTGGGCATGTGTGACATCTATGCACCAACTTGAAGGGGAGTGTAAAATGTGAGTCAATGTTTAGAAAGGAAAAAAAGAAATGTAAATAGGGTAAATACTAGGAATCCTTTATTAGGTAGGATATTGTCTATACCCTTTAATATTTGTTTCCTTATAGAACAAGGATTGTGTATGTATATATTTCAAAAGAAGTAATACAAGGAATTATCCCGTAAAATTCTATTGTTAGATCTTTGGTCAAAGATACAATGATCAATCTTACTACCAAACATTTTAATATCTTGAATACTCCATAGCATATACAATTTTTTTTCATTATCTATGCTCCAAGTTGCAAGAAATTATCATTGGGGTATCAACGAAATTATGCTCTACTGTTGTTATGCAAGGGCATGCATATTGGTATATGTATCTCGTGTTCAATTGAATGTGAAAGGGAAGTGTTGATGAGAATGAATCTCACTACGTGGATGCACTTTGCATGCGTTTATAAGTAAGTTTGGTTACTTTCTATATTATCAATTGGTTTATAGTGGAACCTTAATTTTCTTCATGGTCTCAGAGCAGATTGTTTTGCATGTTGCGTTGATCATGTGTTAAGCTTAAAAACACATTACATGTGAGGAGGCGTGTCGAGAATGAATTCCACGTTGATAGAAGGAGGGACCTACATGAGCTTATAAGCAATTGAACTATTCTCTATATTGTCAATTGTTTGTATGGTAAAACCTCAACTTTTTTTAAGTTTACCAAAATTGTGACTCATTGAGAGTATTGCTCATTGAGAGTATTGTGGTTAATGGATGTGGTCCATGAATTGATGAACTACACAACATTGGCCCAAAAATGGATTCATGATTAACAGAGTATAATGCTAGAAGAACTAATAGTGCATTTTTGATGATATTATGTTATGTGGTTGTTGACATGAATTAATATAATGATCCATTCGTATGGTGTAGGGTGTTAGGTTATTGCGTTTTTTGATGAAATTAATCATCTGGTTCTTGACGTGCGTGTACTAAATTGTTTATCAATTCTTGTAGACTTCCAACTCATTTGGAGCTAACACTAGAGAAATTTTTCAATGTAACTATTACACAAGATGGTAGATTACATGTCACTAAACAAATGGTGCGATATGTGTGCTAAAAAGTTAATAACTTAAAAAATAAAATTTCTCATCATTCTTATTAAAACACGTGATGTACCACTTGTGTTCCCGTCACAACTAAAAATTTCTCACACTGAGCTAAAAGATTGGAAAGCTAGTCGCTTTTGAAGTTAACTACAGCTTCAACTTCTCTCTTTCAATTAGCTCTAGTCTTTTTATTATGAATTATTTTTACTCCCTAATATGGTTTAGCTTAGATCACAAACATACGTAGAGACGGGATCCTTATTTTAAAAAAAATTAAAAAAATAGGGACACACTCGTAACCATTAGATTTGACTTTAATGAAATTCAGTAGTTGAGATTAAATCACGGGTCACAGAATCTCAACCACAGAATTTCATTAAAGCCAAATCTAACGGTCAATAGGGTATCCCCAATTTTTTGAAAAATTGGGATCCCTTCCCTTAAAGACTTTATATATATACATACAAGCCCTTTAAGGGAAGGGATCCCCATTTATTTTTTCAAAAAATGGGGACACACTCTTGATCCTTAGATTTGGCTTTAATGAAATTTTGTGGTTGAGATTAAATCACAGGCCACAAAATCTCAACCACTGAATTTCATTAAAGTCAAATCTAACGGTCAAGAAGATGTCCCCATTATTAAAAAAAAATGGGAATCCCTCCCCTTAAAGGGTTCCTATATATATATATATATATATATATATATATATATATATATATATATATGTACGGTCACCATTACTAGCACATCTCCTAACTATAATCTCTCGTTTATATATTAATGACTTTATGCATGCATTGAAATTCGTATTTAAATTTAATTTTCTTTTAGTTTAGCCAAAAAATAAAAGTCACAAATTTTAGAAAATAAAATTTTATCTTTATAATTTTTCTTAGTAATCTTAAATTTACTCATCTATAATTCTCTTCCCTCCTGACTAAACTTAGGTAGCCACTATCCACAAAACTATTTTAGATTGATGTAATAGTATTTTGAGACAAATTTTTTTTTTTTCTGTAATTTTTTTAGATTAAAATAGCTAAACAAAATGACTTAAATAGCTTATTTGGAGATGATCTTAGGCTCTTGAATATGAGAACATCTATGATGCGGCAGTTTCACTACTTGACGATGCGATGATACTCACACAGGACCCCCTTGTATTTGAACTCACCCACTATAAGTTAGTTTCACCCTATTAGTTCTAATGGTATATGCGGTTGACATAGGATCGGTTGGCGGTAAATTTGAAACCCTCTTACTTAAATTTGTGGTAAGTATTTATAGTGAGGGACGTAGAGCTGTCAAGGAATTCTCCCATTCGCACAAGGTCGTAAGCATGGGTTACGTATGACTCGTATTGGCAGTCTATCAATAACATAATAAAAGTATAATAATATCTATACTATCAATACAAGAGAAATATGTTGTCGATACATTGTCAACACGAATCATGCGCAACCTATGCTTACGACGGCCGGGTGCATGAGAGAATTGTGATCAAGTGGATCATTGAAGTGAATGAGGTCTGAAAAGGCCCATTTCATTATGGTTTGGGCACATTGAGTTCTAATCTGACATGGGTTTTCTAAGTTCAAGTCCAAATGACTTGTTTTGAGGATTAACTTCCATTTCCATATTTAATTAGAATTACTTTTACACCATATGATTGTTAGGATAATCTTGCCATGTGCAGGAACCTTCTTTAAATCTTTTAATAAAAGGAGATATTTTTTCTCACTTTAATCGCTTTTACCTTTACGAGAAAAGCAAATAAAAAATCACTCTCTAATCTAATTTTACAAAGAGAAATGTTAAGGAGATTTTTTTTAAAAGTTAGAGTTTCTATAAACTTTGTCATTCTATTTTTTACATAATATTTTATAACGTCCGCACAAAAATTAATCTTAAAAGTTTGTAAAAAAAAATTCACTTTAAAAATCTCTTTAGTGTTTCCCTTACACAAAGTAAAAAAAATAAAAAATTATCAACCAAAAATAACTTTTCAAGGACTTTAAAAAGTCAATCATAACCTCTGCTGGGTAATGACTTTCCCAAAAACCGCAAATCACGCTCATGATCCAAAGCACAAAAACTAGACTAGTCAACAACAACATTCTCTCATCCTCATTTTACAGCATAAGCGTATGGCTATAGAAGTGTCGTGTGTGAATGATGGAGTTTTCTATAATAGTTTTCAACAAGAATGATACTCTTATCATTTAGTTGTGCTATCTCTCTAATAGAGATGAGACCCACAACGTTGGAGGATTCTATTTTTATTAAAGAGATATTACAAATGATGGACAACTAGTTGGTAAGTATAGCATTACTTTCTAATCAAAATGCCAATTTTTATGCGGCATAATATAGATTAACATCAAAGATGGTTCCTTTCAAATTTGACAATTACTTTAAATTTATTTTAGTGATTAGTAAATGTTTTTCCTCATTTTTATTAATTTTTTGTTTTAAAAAATAATTATTGCAATTATGAAAAGTAAATAACGTAATAAATAATAGTTTAAAATTAACATATATGGATGGAGAAAAAAAATTAAAAAAAAAAAATCAAAGTGCCACATAAGTGTAACATCCCACATCGCCCAAAGCGGACAATATCGTGATCCGGTGAAATCGAGCCCAGGGTGTGATGGAGGCAAGGCCGGGATGTGACATAAGCCTTCAATTTAATGGATAAAATAAAATATATGTTTTTTTTTTTACATATTTCATTATATTGCTTGGGTCTAAATCAAAAGACCTCTTTAATTAACATTGCCATTACTCTAAAAAAATTAACTTTGTCATAATTTCAATCATTAATCTATAAGCACGATTCGTATACTTTATAAATAGCCATTAATTTACGATTAGAAGTGATGAATTTATATTGAATCATGCACATAATCTACTCAATAAATAATCATAATAATTTAATATTAAATTTGATACTCATAGAAAGTCAAACTTAAAACTTGTTAGAAACAACATTTGTCCAAAAACAATCACTGATTTTCCCTCCAATAATCTCTCGTTCGCCACGCCGTTAATAATCACCCCCATCGCTTAAACCCCACTCACACTGAAAACCAAAAAGAATGTTTTGTTTGTCCATCATGGGCTTGTCCCAAATCTCCTATTTAAAGCCTTCGTCTTGCTGCGGAGAACTGCGCTTCAACAATTTCGGAGCTTTCTGCAATGGCTGCCGAAGCGGTTCCGGGTACACCCGGCATAAAAGAAATGAGGTCCGAAGCCGGGACGGAGTTCCGTTTTAGCAATGGTTCGGGTCATGGACATAGAGCTCCCGGGTCCCCCTGTCCGCCGGGGATAAGGAGGGTGAGTTTAAGAGCGGAGATTGATACGTCCCCGCCTTTCGGGTCGGTCGAGGAGGCTGTTACCCGTTTTGGCGGGAAGGGGTCTTGGTTACCATTCTACAAGCTCGGAGAAAACTATGTAAGTCTAGCTTCTTATCTTTCTATATTTAAATTTTGATTACATTGGGAATTTTAGCTTGACAAATTTGTGTAACATATGTTAGAAAAATAAAACAATTTCGAAGATTTTGTGCTATGAGATGTAGAAATTCTCGGTGCAAGACGTTGTTCTTGATAAAGAACATATTTTGTATTTGATAATTTTGGTATTACACAATGTATGTTGATGCATTTTGTAGTGACATGTAGTTTATCGAAACTGTTGCGATACTATACTAATTGTTCATCATTTAATGTTAGTAAAGAATGAACGTTTTTGTCCATACATCATGTCCAGAGAATAACTAATGAGATCTATATACGCATTTCTTCATGTCCTGCTGAATTGTGGTATTTCCACTTCTAGATCATGCTTGCTTCTTGAATTATTCAGTCGTTCAAAAGTCTTTCGGGTGTTCAGTTTGTTTTGATTCAGATTTGATATAACATTGTGATAAGCAGAATGGGGTTGAAGGGTTTGACCTAAAGAAAGTGGAGGAGCAGGCAGCAGAGCTGGAGAAGGATTTGATTGTGAAAGAACTGGAGACACTTGATGTCCTGGAGGAACTGTCAACAACGAAAAGGATCGTGGAAGAGCTAAAGCGCCAGCTGCAGAAAGAGGCGTTGAAATGCTTGACAGTCTTGCCCCCGGATTTCCATTTTGAAGAACACATTTCATCATCCCCTGCCATCAAAGAAATGGACAAGGAAAGTTATAGGACTCCGGGAAATAACCATGAACACATGATGGGAAATTCGAGTCCCTACCCGAATTCTCCTGATCTGATCTTGATGGAGTTGAAGCAAGCAAAATTGAACCTTGGTAAAACAATCAGCGATCTTGGGGTGATTCAGTCTTCTGTCGAATGTTTAAATAAGAAGATGCGAAGCGAGAAAGTGTTACTTGAAAAGACCCAGGAGAGGCTGACTTTGCAGTTTGCAGGGGTGTCGTCGCTGGAGGAGGAGATGAAGAACATTGAAGTGAAGGAACAAATAGGTGTTGATGCAGAAACAGATACTAAGAGCGGCTTTGAGAATTCAGCATTTGTTTCAAGGGAGCATATGCAGTTTAGGAATACACCGGAAACTGTGAACTTTGAAGCATCCGGGGCAATGTCTAGGAATGAGCATGCCACGAACATTATGAAGACTGCTGAAATGAGGTGGATTGCAGCTAAAAAGATGGAAGAAGCGGCAAGGGCAGCAGAGGCCGTTGCTCTTGCTGAAATCAAGGCTTTAACAAGTGGTGGGAGCTCGTCAGGATACGTCCTTCCAGAGCCCGAGAAAATGAGTTTTAGTTCTCAGATGAAATCTCCTCTAAACTCGAAAGCTCAAGAAGCTAAGGGCTTGTTCAAGAAGAAGCTAGTGGATGCCATGCGCCAAATTGATGAAGCTCATACTTCTAAACTGGCTATATTGAGGAAGCTGAAAGAAGCAACAGAAGAGGTTAAACACAGTAAGCAATTCTTGGAGGAGGCTCTGAACAAAGTAGAACTTGCGAATCGAAAGCAACTCGCTGCTGAAGAGGCTCTTCAGAGTTGGGGAACCGAGCATGATCTGAAGGGACAAGCAGCAGCTTATAACATTCGCAACCTAAACAATTTCCAATCACCAGATTATAGCCTGAACTCTCCGATGAACGGGATGAACAAGTCAGCCCTACTAAATGATGGTCCGAAGCCAGTTTTAAGGTCAACATGTTCAATGCGAGATGTACTTAGCAGGAAGCAAGTTCTCCCCGAAGATGTTGTGGCAACAAAGGAAATGGATCGCAGCCAGACTGAAACGCACAGAGGAGCTTTGATTGAAATGCTTCATGCTCTAAGGAAGGATGTAACATTTCCTTCGAAAGTCGAGAAGGATGGAAATGATCAGAAGCCGGTTTTAGCACATAGGAAGAAATTCGGGTTCATCCAGATTTCCCTTCCCTTGTCGAAGCCGAGTAAGAAAAAGATGCAAACTTCGAATGCAGTGTGACAACATTAGATTGATCAACAGTTTCTGTTCAGTTCTTTTGCTCTTTGAGTTATGGTTTTGCTTATGTCAATGTCTTGGAGGTGTTGTTTTATTGTTTGGCAGTCTGTATAGGTGATCTACTAATCTGTATTATACAGTGAGGCTGGATATTTGTTTTACTTTGTTTAATGCATTGGAGTGTAGTTTTTTACTAAAATATTTTGTACGTGTAATTATATAGACATTTCCTCCGACCCTTGTGAAGTGGGAAGCTTTGTTGCCTTGGGGTTGCGCTTTTAGGTCATACTTAAATTCACATGGACTATTGCTATAAATTCATCAGTAGTTAGAGCAGTTCCACCGGGGAACTGATAGGCCAGCACCCAGCCAAAAAAACCAGCCCGACACCTAGGCTATCCACTCCAGCCCAGCATTTTGACTGGCACCCAGCCCAAACTGGTCTTCAGGCTAGCCCAAAATCGACAGAGGTGTGGGCCGGCCCGTATGACGCCATGCTGACACCAGCATGGCTTCGGAGGCAAGGGTGGAGCCGGAATCGAAGGCATGAGCTGCTAGAATCTCACCTATGGCGTCGTCGTTGTCGTCATCCCTGTCCTCGATCCTGAACCAGCCGCATTGCGCTCTGCATCTCAAGCTTCAGAGGCCGTGCCGCTTCACTCTGAGGTTCCTCAATTGGGGATCGGAGAAGTCCAGTTTCCAATGCTACAACCACCGCCAGAAGCTACCACCTCAGCCGTAAATGAGGAGTCTTAGCCGTTGTATCTCCAGAAACTTCTCGAATTCCAACACCAATACTTCTCTCTCCGAGCAGTCTGGTGGCCCCAGCCTCCGCCACTTCGTCGCTCAAGCTGCTCTTGCCGGTGCTGAAGCCTAGCCTTAGTGAGTCCACAGTTCACACCCACACACAGTGTCTTTCAATGTTTTTCTTAATTTTTTAGGAATTTATGCAATGATTCGAATTGGGTTGTCTTAGAGAGGCTTAAAGTAATGATCTTTGATGTACAATCTACGAAAAGGATGGTGGCGGTGATGATGATGAAGGTGGCGATGGTAAGGGAGGAGAAGGGTCATTTCATCTCATAGAAAGGAGTGGGGATTGACGGCATGGATGCTCCGGTCTGCTTTATTGGAGGAGCATTTTTTGGGAGTTCAGAAACTGTAAAGTTATAAATTAAAACTCAAATTATTAATTTTTATTATTTTATAATAAAAATTAATAATATTTTAATAAAATTGACTAGGCTATTTAGTTTTAGGGGTGAAGATGCAGTTGGTCTATTACTGTTCATTAGGGTCTATCATTGTTCACTGAGTGGATAAATGCGCTGGATGTTGGCGCATTTGTGTTAAGGGTGGAACTGCTCTTAGCTATGCTTGGATTTATATAGATGGCATGTTTACTTACCAGGATTGAGGAAGTAAATCAGAAAGCTTATGAACAAAGAAAGTAATGTATGCGAATCATATCAACTAGTCCTCCTAGGTTATTCTGCTTCTCAATTTTTAGTATTTGATTACTAATTTTAAGGTGAGACTCACACGTTGATTTTTTAGGTGCTTAGTAAACGTGACAGAAGTTAAGAATTTGAATAATCATTTTTCATACTGTAGTAAGGAAAAATGCCAAGAGGTAATTTTTACAAATCGAGTTTCATCCTTATTTTACATGTCATTAATAATCAAAGACACACATCCACTATATAAGGATAAAATATGATGACACATTCTTCACAAGTTTCTCATTTGTGACCCAACACGAGTGTATAGGGATGCAAACGTATATCCTCGAAGAGCCAAGCTTTTTGGAATCCACCATAGTTTAGTTTAAATAAAACCCAAAGATTGTTTGATTAATTCCGAATTGATACATTATATTGTACCATATTAATATTTTATTGGGAGTCAAATGGCTTAAATAAGCTTAATCACCCTGGGAAAACCATGAAGTCTTAGGGAATTGAAAACGAATCAAACGTAAAATGAAAAGTCTGATTTCATTACAAACTTTAAATATTGTTTTGGAAGCTGAAACGACCTCAGATAGCTAAAATTTACCATACATCACAACATAATTGTGTGTTTGAACGGGGACTACGCGCTCTTTTCGAAAAGGTATCATGGACCATAAACGGAGCTCGAACGCCAAATCTGTAAACTTCCGTTACGTCCTTTTGTCTTCCTTTAGTCCAATTTGTCTTCAATTCATTCAGCCATTTGTTGTACATCAATTTTGCAAGTGAAAAAACAAGTTGCTATTGTCACTTCGAACATGATCCAAGTCCAAAATTTTCAAAACACCAATAACAAATTCATAGAAGTTTCAATTTTTTTAAAGGGTAAATTACACAAAATTACTTCAATTATGGGTCAAACCACAATCTCATACCTCATGTTTTAAAAGTTATAATGTCATACCTCATCTTACAAATTAGTTTCAATGTCAGACTTCCGTTAGTTTTTTGTTTACCAACCCATCACCCTCACCTATTTTGACGCCGTGAAGGCGTTTGAACATCCATCATCAACCTCCTTCCCCTTTCCGTCCATCCCCCACCCCTTCACCAGAAAGGTGTTCAAACAAATGTGAAGGTAGAAGAACCTGGAGTTCGAATCAAAAGAGAGGAAATAATTGAGTTTCAATCACCACATCCACATACACTGTCGACCAGAAAACCACCATCGCCAGCCGACATGTCACATCCCGGGTCCATCACATCCTGGACTTGCCTCCGCCGTAGCACGATATTGTCCGTCTTGGGCCTCGATCACGCCCTCACGGTTTTGTTTATGGGAATTCACACAAAAATTTCCCAGTGGATCACCCATCCTGGAATTACTCTCAAGCGATCTCGCTTTACTTCGGAGTTCCTATGGAACCCGAAGCCAGTGAGTACCCAAAATGCCTCGTGCTATAGGAGATGGACATGAATATATAAGGCATATATGATCCACTCCCTTGAACGATGTGGGATCTAACACGACCCTACCAGATCTCGAAATCCTTATCTTCGTTGAGTTCTTGATATACTCCGACAACGTCACGAAGAGAAGTAATTTTGAATCTAAGATGAACTCTAATTTGATTGAGTTGTAAATTTAAATTTATATCCTTTGATTCATTATTTGAAGATTTTCTATATTTTAATGGTTTTCACGTGGTGGGTCAAGTGGAGTTTGTTGTAAAATGTTAGTTTGCTTTGTTTTTCTGAATTTTTTGGGTGGTGGGTTGGGGAAGATTTTTATTGTTGATCTGCGTTTAAGTTTGCAGGTCACGTTCATGTTGATTTGGGTGGAGGGAGGGGACGGGAGGAAGGGAAAAGAGGACGTGGGTCCCACACTCTTTTACAAAAATATTTAAATGATTTTGTTTTTAAATTTAATTATTTTTTTAATCCAATTGGATTAGGTAGCGATGTTAGCTTCAAACCATCTCAGCATTTAACAGAAAAATTGACATAAAAACTAACGGAAGTTTGACATTAAAATAAATTTGTAAGATGAGATATAACATTATAACTTTTAAAATATAAGATATAAGATTATAATTCGACTCATAATTAAAGTAGTTTTTGTGTAAATTACCTTTCTTTAAATTATGAAGGGAATTGCGCTTTAGATTGTCACCTGTCATTAAAAATCATTGTGCGCCATGCTGTCATTTCCACTTTTGCGTGCATTCTAATGTTACAGCGGGAAAAGTGCTTTACCCTTTTAAATTTTACAGCAACCCCGCCCGCCAAAAATCCGCGCGCAAGTTAGCAATCCACATAGAACCACACTACCGTGCGCCCCAGGGACCAGACTACGTCGGCATAGTGGGGAAAAATTACGTGGATTGGCCCGCAAAATGCATAATCATGTGCGCACTTAACAACCGGCGCATCTTAGCTAGTTACACCCGTCCTTTGGTCTTCCACTAATTTACGCGAGTCCTATAAATTAGCTGCAAATTTTACGTTAAAAAAGTTGCAGAGTTGAAGAGCGGTCCTTCAATGGCGAATCCGAGGACCCGGAAGAGGGTTCGTCCAATCCCTCGAGCTCCCGACGGAAGTGCCTTTCAAAAGTGGTGTGCCATAAAATGCAATTTTTTTTTGCGTTTAATTAAATTTTGAAATTTTTTTCATAATTTAATTTGGATAATGTTTTGGGATTTTGATCATTACGTTTGTAGCAATTCCTGTGGAGCTTCAGTGCCCATTGCTTTGGCTGGGATGCACGACTGTGAAATCAACGAGAAGGTGAAGAGGTTTAAAGGCGTAAGCGTGGATGTTAAGAAACAGAGCATTTGGGAGCAGCTCGTAGTCATTGCCCCTTTTCATTTCTTCATGTGAGTTTTTATTTTCATTTTTTTATGAAGTTGTTTAATTTCTTGATTCTGTTATTTATTCTGTCTCGGTTGATTTAGGGGTTGTTTGAAAGTGTTTTTAGTATAATTAAAAGTGGGTTTAGACAAATAAAAGTACTTATGGCAATGCTTTAAAGCAAGGTTAAAGGTATGTGATTGTTTTTGTTTATACTCTTTTGCTAGAAGTAATTTCATGTTGAAATTGGTGTCAAAATATTACGAGTGCTTCTTGACAAAGCACTTGAGTGTGCTTCGTGCTTTCTGAAAGTTGGATGTTTTTTCAGGAATTGCTTATGGTCTAGTAGCACTTTTAAATTTTCTGCCAAACGTAGCCATAAGCATTTTTGGTTGTTATATAGGACCTTTAGCACTTGCTGTGAAAAGCGCCTAGCAAGTGCTTTTTTAGGAAGCAATTTCAATTGCTTCTCTAGACACCACTTGAACTTTTATTGAAATTGTTGATGTACTTCTATTAAATAAGTGCATCTAGTAACAGTGCTTATGGACATAAGTGCTTTCTAAATCCTAATTTTATGAGTTTATCAGGAAAGAATTTACCAAGACGAGCAAGGCTGAAAATTGGGTTGCCATTAATAGAGAAGGGTTCGAGGCATGGAAGAACATGTCCGAGAAGGTAAAGATCGGATCTTTAATCTTTATGAGCCATACCCAGTTGTTATGCTATGAACTTAATGTGTTTTACCATGTACATTCGGAATTTTGTTTTGTTAGGAGAGGCAACCGTATGTTGCAGAAGCTGAAAAGATTGACAAGGCTTACCAGAAAGCTTTGCTTGAAGAAGAAAATGATAAACTTGGGGTAAATCAATGTTAAATACGTATATGCCTGGTTTTTGTGTTTTGAATTCATTGATATGAAGTTTCCAACTGTTTGTGTGGAAATCGAAACCAATGGCAGTGCGTGATTGGTTCACACAATGCTACGCGAGGAAATGAAACCAATGACAATGCGTGATTGGTTTGAGATATTTCCACAATGACATTCCCGTTTTATGCGTTTGCATATCTACCTTCACTGAATGAGTAGTTTCATCTTGCAGGTAGATGATGAGGCAGATTCAGCCGCGGCCACTGGGAACAATGGGAAGGCTGGTGAGGTATGTTTGCTTCTTCAAGGCTCAGAATAAAATTGTGGTTTACTCGGTACTGGTTGGTTGGGTTAAACTTTAATCACCATCTATCTAGTTCTGATTGTTTATGGATGGGATGGGACACAGTTTTATGAAGACTACGAGAATTCTGACGGCTCTGATGTATTTTGGGATTACTCTGCTACGACTGGGTCTTGGCACACCTACCATGGGTCTCTCTCTATGTCCAAAATGTGTGTTTACGTTTGGAATTGGATAATAGTGATTTTCACACTTCGAGTTCTCTTTTGACTTATTCAAACCAAATACTGGAGAAAAAGAGAATAGTATTGGAGGAGAAATTGAGTGCGAAAATCACTTACCAATTTTATTGTTCTCTTTTCGTATTCTGTATTGCCCTGCTAATTTCCTATCCTTATTTGCCTCTTGAAACAGGCCTATGGTGCATGAGTGCACCTCATGAAACAGGAAAATGGTGCATGGTTTTTTAGTCCGCGGGTCTGTGGTCGCCAGTAGAGGTGGAAAATTAAACCATTGAGTTGTTAATGGGTATTTGTTAAGATTTGTTTAATTTGATAACCCTATAACATAAGGGTGAGACGGATAGTGATGATGATGGTGTAAAGTGAAAGAAAATTAAATGGGTCTTAATTGGTATCTATTAACAACTTAATAGATTGATTTGACACCTTTAGTCTCGAGGACAACAAACTCTGGGCCGGTTTTTGAGAACTCCAAAGCTAAGAAATTACGTTTTTTAGCTGATCATTTTTTGGGGTAACATAAGCATCTGGCTATTGTATAGTACCAAAAGGGTAGTTATTTTCCAATGTAAAGTTGAAAAAGTTTTACTTTATGATGTGAAATACTTGAGACCTCGGCATTTTGGGTTTATATTATGGTTTAAAGAATGTTTACATTATCGTATTTACGCCTTCATTTGCTATATAATTTATGTAATATGTTGTGTTTTCTCTTTTTTTTTTCTTCAACGTCGAGAGAAATAGAGACTGATATGGTATAGGTAATTTATTTCCCTTGGTGCAAGAAAAATCTTCAATTCAAGGGTTGGATTAGTTTACAATCTTTTTAGATGGAAGGGGGTTAGAAGCATGCTTTACCAAGATTCAACCTACTTCCATTCCCAACAAGCCTTGTTCTATTCTCCCACGCTATATGGTAAATATTTAACATTTCATTTTAAAATCACGCACGTAAAATTCCATTTTAATTTAATTTTTTAACTATATTAAACTATTTTAATCTACCAAACGAAGTTTCGTAAGCAGAGGTAGTATAATTTTGATGTACTAAAAAATATTGATATACTAAAAAATTGCCTATTGTATGGTTTAGTCAAATTCTATTTCATTTTAGTATAAAAATATTGATGTACTAAAAAAATAAAATTTTGGAAAAATGAGTATAAAAGAGAAGAAAATAGAAGAAAGAAAAATTAAAATGTAGTTAGAGATATTCTCTTTTGAACAGAGTTTGGTGGTTGAAAAATCAGCAGCAGCTCCTGCTGCTAATAAATCACAGGTGGACACGTGTCCAAGTAATTGATTTTATAATCACAACTTGAACACGTGACCACTAGTGATTCAGTTGATTTTTTTTTCAACAGTCAAGCTCCGTTCCTATGGAAAAATCAAGGTTTTTCTGAAATCACGTGATTCCCACGGAAAGAAGCAACTTATGGTCACGTGGACTCCATATCAATCTCACACCGACCCTCCCACCCAACAACAAAAATGATTTGTCATAATTATGCCCAAAATACAAGATAATTACATTAAATTAAATTAAAAATACTAAAATAAACAATAAAAATTGTAAGTACAGCAAAAGCTTGTACAAACGTCTCTGTATTCGTCTCTGATGGACTATGCCTGCAGCAGTTTCAGAAGCTCGTCTCTGCTCCTTCCATGGCGATCCCCGTCTCCTCACCTGCACACTTCCTTCGCTTGCAAGCTCAAATTTATGGTAAGCCCTTCTCTTTCTCTCGTAATTTTTTGCTGTATTTTTTGTTGTTAATTGCTTCAATTTCACAGAAACTGAAGCGTTTGGACATGGCGAAGCATCAAAGAGTGGTCAGGAGTTCTTGTGGGTTCAACGAACATGGCTCCGTCAACGGGTTTCCGGTCATACCCAACAAGCTTTTCATGCAGGAGGTAATGATTTCTCATGCCCCTTTTCATATTTTCTTTATTTGTTGGGGTTTTTTGTGTTTTATGTGGGTTATAAAGCTTGAAAATTTTCGGTTTTGAATTGCAGTTTTGCTTGAATTTTCAATTTTTATGTTAATTGGAAACCAGAGCTTCTGGGTTTTGATTATTTTCCATTTTTAACAAATTTTTGGGTGGTAATTTTGATGAATTTATGTTTTTCCTCTTTTCGGTGTTTTTAGGCGATTGGAGCTGAATATGGAGAAGGTTTTGAAACTTTTAGACCAGATGGACCTCTTAAGGTTGATGTGGTAAGTAATTTATGGAGCTATATGTAAAGTACTCAAATTGTTTTTTGTGTTCTGTGAAATTTAATTTACTTGTTATACTTTCTGCTGCTAGACTTACTATTGTTAATTCTTATTCCGAGTAGGATTTTTTGAACGACAGACTGCAAGAAGGTTTTCTTAAACGAATACGATATGCCATGAAACCAGATGAAGCTTATGGTCTAATATTCTCTTTTGACAATGTCGTGGTAAGTTTCTATAACGCTCATTGGTTATACGTTTCAGGTTCTGATGTCTGGAAATGAAAATGTAATGAAGTGTGGAAAATCATATTTATGACATCTTACGGATCAAGAATAAACTTTAAATGTGAAATTATTGAAAAGTGATCTGATTGCGTAAAATATGTGTTTCAGGCTGATACTCGAACTTTGAAATTAAATTCTTGGAAGCAGCTTGCCTCGGAAGAGGGTACATCTCCATTTCTTCTCTTAAATAGCCCATTGCATGGCTTTCGATTGATTCTCAATATTGGATCATATGTTGAACTGGTAGATGCTGATTCGTGTGATTCTAAAACCTTTTTTTCGTTCCCTAAAATTTTGACTCTTGGTCAGGAAAGGAAATTCCCGAAGATGCAGCTTTGCAAAGACGGATGCTTTATGCAGGTGCTGATCATGTGTTGCATAAGGTTTGGGATTAGTGTACATTTCAGGAATTTTTGTTTGATTGTATTTATCTATTTCTACTCTAATAAAAATTACGATTATTTCCGATGAAATCTGAACCATCAATTCTTGACACTTATATGAATAACTCACAAGTTTCCAAAAACATTCAGCTTTTACTCTGGGACAAAGCAGACGGAGAGCTGGATAGGTTGGCTTTAAAGTTTTCACAATTATACTGTGATAATCTTCTCAGGGTGAGTGCTAAGCCACTTGTAACTTATTTGAGGGGGTTCAGTTTGTCTCATGGATGCAACAATCTTACTCACCTTTTCTTGTTTTTCAGCTTAGTGAACCCGTGGAGGGGCTCAAAGAGTGGTTAGATGCTGTATCCACAGCTCGTATCCCTTGTGCTGTAGTTTCAAGTCTTGATAGGAGAAACATGACAGAAGCCCTAGAACGAATGGGTCTCAAGAAGTATTTTCAGGTTGGTGTGCTTTTGACTTACACTAATGTTTCTTTGAAATTTACCGTTGGGTTGAATGCTTTCATAATCATAGACCATCACACCTTTCATTTGTTGTTTTTCATTGAGATGTAAATGATAAACTCAGAATCATTCATGTGTTTTTGTTGATTCGACTTTTATCAACGATTTCCTCTTTGTGCGGATACAGGCAATTGTGACAGAGGAAGATGGAATGGATTCGATAGCTCATAGGTTTCTTTCAGCAGCTGTGAAGGTATTGTATGCAACTTGCTATTATTAATTTACAATTATGGATTGCAAGTGTCACTCTTGAATTGGAAGGTTGGATCATCACTTAAGGCAAGCTTGCACGTCTGGAGTCGTTCTGTCTGTATTTATATGTTCAAATGTTATCGTGTAGGATAAAAAAATTGTGTAATCAATTTATTCTCTGGTTTCATTCTCTGACTCTGACCAAATGCATTCTACTCCTTGCAGCTGGATCGGAAGCCATCCAAGTGCGTTGTGTTCGAGGATGAACCTAGGGGTATAACCGCTGCTCACAACTGTACAATGATGGCTGTGGCACTGATTGGCGCCCACCCTGCGTATGCATTCTCATCCTCTTCTCCCTTGATAGCGCTGTTTATCCTTCTGATATAAAAGTTTTATCAAATAACTCGTGCATCTAATGTGCATACATGTTAAGTACACCTTTATCTACGTTCAAAGGCATGGCACTGTATACTCTGAGATTGATTGAGATCGACGGTGGCACATGCAGGTATGACCTGGTGCAGGCTGATCTTGCAGTTGCTAGCTTTAACGAACTTTCCGTGATCAATCTTAGAAGACTATTTGCGAACAAGGGTTCTACATTCATGGACTTGCAGAAGCAGGTTATAGAGAAATCTCCACCGAAGAGGAAGCTTACTGTAGATACTATTTTCTGATTCATTTTTTCCCTTTTGTAATTCATCCTCTCTACCTCTCACCCACTTGTAATCTAGAAGCCGATCATCTTGTTTTCCTTGGTTTGTAATTGATCTCATAAGTTTGTTTGTGTTCTTGATATACGAACTTCTTACAGTGAAAAATCAAAGAAACTCTGATCAAAGTCCCATGGTTCAAGTAGATGTTGGTTGGACGAATTGGCCAAAGCAGTATGCTCGCAGCTTTGTATCCAAGTTTGAATCTTATAGATTAGATAAATCAAATCTCCAATAAAAGATGCAATTTCTAGCATAAGAGCAAACTACATGTGGTTCCCATTAAACATTGATTTGTGCCCTTGACTAATTCTATATGTAGGAGATTCCAAGTTCGATTCTCATTTTTTAATATCGGAAATGGTTTCAAGTTTTATTTGCTTTCTCCTACCTATCAAAAGAAGGAGAAACAATGAAAAAGACTTACATAGAGCATGTAAGCGGAACCGAGACATTCCGGTCTAATTATTAATGTTATATGTTAATCTTACTCCATGTTGCATTGTATTATTGGATCGGAATGCTAGTGTGTAGATATACTTGGTCTCCGTAAGTTGTTCTAGAAAACAACCGTGTCTGTTGCTTGAGTTAATTGTCAATGGATAAGATTGGGGTCCCAGTCTCCCTTATCCTTTATCGAGCGTAGACAAACGGCATGTCGCAATACACATACGACAATCGTCGAAGATATTTTAATTTCGTTACCGTTGACCGTTGAAGCACTCACCGCTGTGAAATTTATTTATTTATTTTTTTTAACCGGTGTGAAATTTCCCCTTATCGTTATTGTCATCCACCTCTGACAGACTTCCTCTCCCTTCTTCTCCGCCTTCGCTGAGAGAGCTTCGGATTAGAGAGAGACTTCCAATTCAATTCCTCCTTCGCATCCGAACATGGCTTGCATTCACAGCTACGGCTCCATAGCTTCCATCTCTCTTCCCACCTCCCCTTCCTTCTCGCCAAGATCCAGATGCGCCTACAAGCCTCGCTTTCTCTGCGCCCTCGGAGGTATTTACAAAACGATGTCGTTGCTTAATTTGGAGCTTTCGACTATTGGATTCTGTGGGAAATGGTCTGATTGGTGTTGGGTGTTTTCTAATTTGGGGTCTTTATGTAATATACGGTGTCGTTTCTGTGCTTAATATGAACTTTGAAGCTTACCCCAACTGGTTTATGTGGGATATGGTGTAATTGATGTTGGGTTTGCTCCAATTTGGGATCTTTGTTTAATACTTAATCGTGTACTTAATATGCTTGCTAATCAAGTTTGATAGTGCCCACGTGCTTGTTTTGAAGCTACTCCAGCTGGGTTTTGTGGGATATTGTCAAATTGATGTTGAGTGTGTTCAAATTTGCGTTCTTTATTTAGCACAAATTCTGCTTAATTATTTGCTAATAAGTTTGATAATGCCCAATGTCTAATTGTGTGGTTCATTTCAGGGAGTGTGGCAGAACCCCAAGTTGCCTCCGTTGCCGAGCCGCTTTTGCTCAATGCAGTTCGCGGGGACGATGTTGAGAGACCCCCAGTTTGGCTCATGAGGCAAGCAGGGAGGTACATGAAGGCAGGTTTATGCATATATCGATTACCATCTCATTCGCTCTGAATTAGTTCTGGTTTAGTGTAAATTGGCCTACTAACTTATTTAAGCATTTTGATATGACAGAGTTACCAAACTCTCTGCGAGAGGTACCCTTCGTTTCGAGAAAGATCCGAAAATGTTGACCTCATTGTCGAAATTTCGCTACAGCCCTGGAAGGTCTTCAAGCCTGATGGTGTAAGATGTCACTCTGGGATTCAGTGTTGGTGGTTTTCCAGTTTAGCCACTTACCTGTTATAATCTTGTTATCCCTTCCGTTGGGTTGCTCGTTTCCTTTTTCTCACAAGTCTCCCCATGTGTTGTGACAGGTCATTTTGTTCTCAGATATTCTAACGCCTCTTTCCGGGATGAATATACCATTTGACATTGTAAAAGGTAAGGGTCCTGTAATATTCGATCCTCTGTATACTGCTGATGATGTTGATCAAGTAAGAGAGTTTGTTCCACAAGAATCAGTTCCATATGTTGGGGAAGCGTTGACAATCTTGCGAAAAGAGGTCTAACATTTCTCTACTTATTCTGTTTCAACTTTGAATATCTTTTTCATTTCATCCTAAACTTGGAATAGTTGCATGTATAATTCGCTAAAAGTAGTACCTTGCCGCTATGGTGCCAATAATATTGCTATAAAAGGAAGCAAAAAGAGGGGAATATATCACATGAAATTTGGAAGCTAAGACCTGAATTACAAAAGTGTCAAGGGATTCATTCGAGTCCTTACGATATTATGTTAGTCTGCGGGGACCTCAGTAATATGACACTGCATACCATGGTTATGATTCCTAAATGCTATCAGCCACCTTTTGAAGCTTAATAGAGTTTGATATTGGATGTGATTTGAGAATGATTTCTCTGCTTGAGCCTGCATCATAACCTTTGGTATCCTCACTGATACGGTGATATCTTTACTTTTCCAGGTAGATAATAAGGCAGCAGTGCTAGGTTTTGTTGGGGCTCCTTTTACCCTAGCATCGTATGTAGTGGAAGGTGGTTCATCAAAGCATTTCTCAAAGATAAAGAGATTAGCCTTCTCTCAACCAAAGGTAACTCTAGTGCTGCCTATATCTGGTGTACGCAACTTTATGGGGTGTTAGTCGTAAATGCAACATTAAAAATGTGTTTAGTGGTCTTTCATAGTGGTACAACATTGACTGGGGCTTATTGTATTGAGGGTTATCAATGGTTGCAGCATTTTCTGTTTGGGTTGCTTTTTGTTGTGTGACTGGAGGTCTGAAATTAGATGCAAGTTGTTCCCACATTTATTTTTCAATCTTGTCTTCTAACTTGTTAATATCATGGTTACATACATTGAGAGTGCCAATAAGTATGGTCCTTTAGCAATTGGTTGCTAGTTCCTAGGCTATTCCCACCTTCGTTTCAAACCCATTTTGCGACTTATCATTAATATATTTGATGTTTTCTGGGAGTGTTACATTGTTAACAAAGGTGTGAATATCCTTCTTATCATTCTTGTTTGGTTTTTAACGTGGGACGCTTCCTGCTGGTATATGCCAACTTTGCTGACCTTTGGTTCTTTCCTCAGGTCCTCCATGCATTACTTCAGAAATTTACAACTTCAATGACAAAGTATATTCGATACCAAGCTGATAATGGAGCTCAAGCCGTTCAGATCTTTGACTCATGGGCCACAGAACTCAGCCCTGTGGATTTTGAGGAATTCAGTCTGCCATACTTGAAGCAAATCGTGGATGCTGTGAAAGAGACCCATCCAGTTCTCCCCTTAATCCTTTACGCAAGTGGATCCGGGGGTTTGCTTGAGAGGCTAGCTTTGACCGGTGTTGATGTAGTTAGCTTGGACTGGACAGTTGATATGGCGGAAGGTAGAAGGCGACTGGGACCAAATATAGCAGTTCAAGGTAATGTGGATCCCGGTGTTCTTTTTGGTTCAAAAGAATTCATCACCAGCAGAATAAACGATACGGTGAGGAAAGCCGGTAGAGGAAAACATATTTTGAATCTTGGCCACGGCATTGTAGTAGGTACACCTGAGGAGAATGTTGCCCATTTCTTTGAGGTTGCTAAAGATATCAGATATTGAAAATACATTTAGCTTGAATTGATTTCCTCTTTAGTTGAGCTCTTTCCTTTGTAATTTTTGTTCCCATTTTAGTCCTTGTCAATTATTTGCTTAATTAATACAGGTCTTTGTTTCTTCAAAAAAAAAAAAAATGAAAAGAAAATACTGCTCTTTGTAATTTGTTGAAGACTTGATGGGCGACCATGGAAAGTCGATTGCGATATTTATCTTTCTGCAACTCCTTGAGCATGTTGCTCATTTTTTACCGAAAAGTCACAGGTTCGAGTCGTAAAAACAGCCTCTTTGCAAAGCAAGAGTAAAGTTGTGTATGATAGACGTTCTCTCCACTCACCCCCCACCCACAAAACCCCCCGCCCACTCCCCAACTGACCCTTGCAAAGCGGAATCCTTGTTGGCTTGGCTCGCCCTTTTTAACTCCTTGAGTAGGGCCCTCAATTAGTATTTGGTCTTAAATTATGGCTTTAATAATTAGTGTAGGAAAAATCATACATTGCATTTTCAACGCATATAGGCGAGCTCTCATTTTCTGGGATTCTGGATGGAGAAGATATTTTCTTATTTCGTCTGTAAGCATGTGTTCACCAACCAACCTTGTCCCAGAAAATGATGAATTTGTTCGTACATCTATTGTACAATAAAATTAGAATAATTAGCACCTGCTTAAATTGTTTGGTGTTTTATTTTCTTGGCGAATAATTTAGTGCAAACATGTTAGGTTAACTACTTAATGCTATGGACCAACCTTTCGCTTTTCCTTTTATCTGATTAATTGGGAGAGAGATTCAAACATCAGGCATCTTCGATATTGGAAAGAAAATTATCACTGGACTAAAACCTAGTTGGTTTTCGCTTTTCCTTCTTAGGCTCTTGTTTTTCTTGTTGGTAAGTTGGTGTGTGCTTATTTTTGAAACTATTGGAATAACTAACAAGTCGCTCTTTATACAACGGTAATGAAAAAGGTAAAATCAAACACGGGATCTTGAATATAGAGTAATTGTTCTTAATCACTCGCACTACGGTTCCTTATAATAACTAATAAACTACTGAGACTAGCATTGCAAAATTGTCAAAGTTTGATACCATGGGGCATGAGCATGCATGATGCATGCCTGTTTCTTGCTAGCTAGGTTGGTCCACGAGAATATCAACAATTAGTCTTAAACCTAATTAAGCATAAACCTAGCAACCATCGAATCTTACCGTCACTAGTCACTAGTCACTAATCACTAATCACTGATCACAACCCAACATCTGATCATTCCAATTTATCACCTATGGCCCACTTCCCATCAATATACGATTCTTCGTAATCTTAACAATTCACAAACAAACTGATATTTGAATAGAAGACTTGTAGATCTCGAACAAAATTTTTATAGCTTAAGTATTTAAGAGCGTATATTCATGCACCTAATGTTATATGTATTAAAATCCCATATCTCTCAACTTGCCTTGTATAAAAAGAAATAATAACCCTTGGGCCTCGACTAAACTGTTACAATTTGGTTGGTGTGTCCAACTAAGGTACAGGGGCATGCTGACAAAGGTCGATTGACCTTCCTTAACAACGACAATTCGAATTTAGTGGAAAATAATACAAACAGCCGTAACGTACATATATATATACAACTATACACACTGCTTTCTGTATCCCTATTTCTCCTCTTATTTTCTCTCTTTTCTCCTTCCAACGTTCAGATCTTCTGGACTCTGTGTTCTCCTAAAAAAGGTAATCCCTTTACTTTACTTTTCTTTTTTTCCTTTAATTTTCTTATTTTTCTCTTTGACTGCTTTAACTTTGTAAAAATTATGTGTGACCATATTCAAATATTGACGTTGTCACATGTTCTTTGAATCAGATAGATAACGGGTTTTTCTTTTGGAAATTTTTAGCAAGATACAGCAACTGAGGATGCAAAACAGATGTGTTTTTTCTTTCATTATTCAAGCCTCTGAAGTAGAACTCAATCTGGCCTGCTTCCCTTGTAATTTGTTCTCGATGAGGCTGGATCCTAAACACACTGTGAAGTTGAGATCAGGTTCGTACAAATGCAAATTGAAGCTGCAAAAGGAATTTCTGTCCCGTTGAAAGCGCCCAAAGGACTCCTGCCCTGTGAGTAAAATTCTCATAGTAGCATAATTTCTAGCAATAAATTTAGCGTTGCTGTTGTTGTTGTTGATGTGGATTAGGTTTAGGGTTTAAGATTTTAAAATGGAAAATAAGGGCAAGATTTTGATGCAAAAATATGAGATTGGGAGAATGTTAGGGCAAGGAAACTTTGCTAAAGTTTATCATGCAAGAAACCTCCAAACTGGCCATAGCGTGGCGATTAAGGTAATTAACAAAGAAAAGGTTCTGAAAGTTGGACTAATTGATCAAACAAAAAGAGAGATTTCTGTTATGAGACTCGTTAAACACCCGAATATAGTGCAACTTTTTGAGGTCATGGCTACGAAAACCAAGATTTATTTTGTTTTAGAGTATGTCAAAGGCGGCGAGCTTTTCCACAAGGTGTCGAAAGGGAGGCTCAAGGAGGAAATGGCAAGGAAGTACTTTCAGCAGCTGATCAGCGCTGTGGATTTCTGCCACAGCAGAGGTGTTTACCACCGCGATTTGAAGCCTGAGAACTTGCTGCTGGACGAAAATGGAACGCTGAAGGTGTCGGATTTTGGGTTGAGTGCGCTTGCGGAATCCAACAGGCAAGATGGTCTTTTGCACACAACTTGTGGAACTCCTGCTTATGTAGCTCCTGAAGTTGTGGGGAGAAAAGCATATGATGGGGCAAAAGCTGACATTTGGTCTTGTGGTGTGATTTTGTACGTGCTTTTGGCCGGTTATCTGCCGTTTCATGGAACAAATCTGATACAAATGTATAGGAAAATTGGAAGAGCAGATTACGAATGCCCTAAGTGGTTTTCGAATGAAGCGCGACGGCTACTCTCTAAAATCCTCAACCCTAACCCTAGTAAAAGGATTTTCATTTCAAACATAATGCAAAATCCCTGGTTTAGCAAGGGGTTCAACTCCAAACCAATTGCAACTATAACAGAAGTCGGAAGCCAGGGTTTTTCGGACGTTGATCAGATTACTGAGCTGGCAAAGCAGCAAGAGTTGGCTAGACCTAGACCTACATATTTAAATGCTTTTGATATCATCTCTCTTTCTGGTGGATTTGATTTGTCTGGCTTGTTTATGGGACAGGAACAAGATGTGAAAAAAGAAGTGAAGTTCACATCTGTGCAATCTGCCTCATCAATTGTATCCAAGCTGGAGAACATTGCTCATCATTTGAAGTTGAAAGTCAAGAAAGATGGAGGGTTACTGAAATTCGAGAAATCTGATAACGGAAGGAAGGGTGCATTGGCAATAGAGGCTGAGATTTTTGAGTTCACTTCATCTTTTCATTTAGTTCGTCGTACCCAGTGCACAAGGCTCCCGCTTTACGCAGGGTCTGGGAGAGGTGAATGTCGGCTAGCCTTACCCCCATTTATGGAGAGGCTGCTCCCAATCATCTTTTCATTTAGTTGAGATGAAGAAATCCAAAGGCGACACATTGGAATTTAGGAAGGTGTTGGAAGATGATATAAGACCAGCTCTCAAGGATGTTGTGTGGACATGGCACGGTGAGCAGAAACAAGAACAAGAACAAAAACAGCATATGCATTATTCTTCCTAAGTCTGCACATCTCATACTTGAATGATCTGAAGCTTTTCTAATTTAAACTATTGTTTGATGAATTTATTCTTGTAATTATTATAAAGTTATTGTTATATCAAGGCTCAATTGGTTTTGTAAGCTTGAAGTTACATGTGATTGCATATTATGAGTGAGGTTTTCCAATCTTTTGTTCCATTTGACCCCCAAGTTTCGTTGGGCTTAGACTTTTTGGGCTCATACCATAAATTGGACTTATGATGTTCGTTACAATATCCATTTTAGTAAGGGTAGATATTTGAACCAGAAAAAGATGAAACAGGGTCGAACCAAACCAGAAAAAATCAATGAGTAAACTTAATATAAGTCCAATTTTGTGAATCAGAATTGAGTTCAGTCCACTTTGTTATGGTCCACTCACTAATTATCCATATTCAAACCGAATCAAAATCGAACAAAATTAATTATTTTATTCATTTCAATTTTATATCAAGGTGAAGTATACTTAAACTAAACAGACCATGCATACCACTACATTCTATGCATTCATCTTCTGTCAATAAAGTGCATGTATTTCATTGAGAAGCCAGTTTTTCACGCAAACCCTAATGGTATGCATTAGATATATATGCGAGTCGACTGGCCTTCACAGACGCACCAATACAGCCGGTCGGCAAACCACTCACATCTATGGGCTTGTTTGGATGTGCTTGTAAAATAACTAAAATAGCTTTTAGAGAAAATTAAAGTTTTTGGGTTCCAAAAGCACTTAAAGTTCTTGCACTTTTAAGTGTTTTTATAGGGTTTACTTGCACATTTACTAAAGATTGGTTTTAAAAACATTTTCACTAAAAGTGCTTCCAGTCATTTTAAAAGCACATCCAAACAAGTTCTACATCTAATGTGCATTATTAGGGTCTACATAAGAGAATTGTCACTCAAAGGCGTCACTAGTAATAATAAAGGAAGATTAATTTTTTTGTACATTACCTTTATTAATTGACACATATTAAATTTAATTATGACAATAAAATTAAAAAAGATTAAATTTATTAACACGTATTAATCAATAATACAGGCCAAATAGAAATCATGCATAAAAAGAATGCATAAAATTAACTCTAATAAAGGTGCCTAGCTTTTATCATCATCATTTGGAGCAGCTGGCATATGACCCCATGTTAGCATATTCCAATATTGATTGCTGCATGGCACCCAAATGGAGCAAGACGCATGGAAAAAGAAATGCACAGATTAATATTGTGTGGAAGCAAATTAATCAAAAAGACTTGTAGATCTCACAACTCAAATTCCGAATCCGAATCCGAATCGTTTTGTTTAGTATTCAAATTAATCAAAAAGGTTAGGGTTGGTCGGCTCGGGGATTACAGGGGGAAAGATTATCAACAGTTAGCAGTTCTAGAATTTAAGTTCGAATCACGCTATGTTAAAATAAACTTTATCGTTTCTGAAAAGATGATGCACATTTAACAACATTATTATTATTATTATTATTATGTTCATGCTCTTAAGGTTTTTCGCTTTAACGAATGTAAGTTAAAGTAGTTGATAGAGCACTGCATTTATTCCCTTGAACTTAAGTTCGAATCATCCTTCATCAAAATTTAATAAAAAATTTCCCATTACATTAAAGGGACTAATTACAATTAGATTTAAAGGGTAATGTTGAGTGAGCCCACATGATTTCCATCATAAAAAATACCTTACAAAGTCATAGAATAAAAAACAAAAATTGGTTCTTCACTGTTGTCACATCCCGGCCCAGGTTCCCATCACATCCCGGGCTCGACTTCACCATAACACGTTATTGTCCGCTTTGGGCTCCGATCACGATCTCACGGTTTTGTTTCTAAGAACTCACACGAGAACTTCTCAGTGGGTTACCCATCATGGGATTGCTCTCGCGCGAACTAGCTTAACTTCGGAATTCCGATGGAACACGAAGCCAGTGAGCTCCCAAAAGGCCTCATGCTAGGAAGAGATGTGAATATACATATAAGGCTTACAAGATCCACTCCTTTGGATGATGTGAGATGTTACAACTGTCCCATTGAAAATGGACAAAGAAGACAGGAGAAAGAGATGGTATAAATATATCATAAATCATCCTAAATTGTCTCCAACCCATGCCATGAGGGGGTTCTCCACTTGCTAAAGCTATAGTATCATTCAGTCTCTCTTCTCTTGAGTTCTAATCTTTTGATATAAATCAACCCACACACCAAATGCATTATGCTCTCCTTTTTTTTCAGTTTTTAATTTGGTCCATAAACATAATTTAATTTAATTTAAAGATAATTAACATTGATATAGAGGGGAGTGACCCAAAAAAATTATTCAAAGTTCGACACTAGAAATGTATAGAATCAATAGATGCATGAAACTTCACATGCTTGGTGTGAATGGGGGCTCTACCACTTTTATCTAAAATATTGAAACTTCGAGTAAGTAATTTATCTAAAAGATTGAAACTTTAAGTAATTGATTTTGTAGGGTTAATTTCCTTAATTCTCAACTCAAAAATCGATGAGTTCCATCTTATAAACTCTCTTAATTATCATGTCACACATGTAACTGTACTGTCATACTACTATGAGATATAACCATTTTAACTGTCATATAACTCATGAAAATCATAAACGTAATTACCATGCAAACGAATGCCGTCATACATTGAAGGAAGAAGTTACACCTCTTCATTTGTCTAGTTTCCTTTTAAATACCCAAAACCTAGCTTTAGCAAAAGGATAACTTAAAGCAGGGCGGGCACTAAAAATAAGTTTGTTTGAGTGGATAATAGTGCTTTATTTCTTCAAAGGTCTCCATTTCGAAACAGGTTGCAATCTTGGACTCGAACCCAGCATCTGGGCGAAGAGACAAAAACCTTCCACCAAACCTTCCACCGCTAGCGCTGGAAGATTCATTAATACCATCTGGCACATTTAAATATATGTTATGTAGGTGTTTACTTGTAAAGAAAATTTGGGAGCCCTTCCAAATCGGGGCCCATGTGCGGTGACACCTTTTGCACACCCTCAGAGCCGGCACTGATAACTTATATGAGACATCTTACTTAGTTCTAAGCCTCAAGCCCTTACCCTAGAGTTAACGAGTGGATTAGAAAGAACCGAAAAATGAATTAGGATTATAATAATCAACAATCTGTTTGTTAAATTAACTTTGATAAAATGAAAAATGGTTTGAAGTATAAATGAATTAGTAGATACGATCCAGTATTGTTTAAAAAGAAAAGTTTAGATCTTTTGGATGGTCATGGTTGGACGCAAATGGGATTTTGAGATACAAGATTGTGATATTTGAAGCAACTTGCACTTCAACATCAAATCACCTTTCACTAAACAAAGCAAAGCCGAAAGATCTTTGTTGACACATCCCGACCCGAAATGTCCATTAGGACTCCGAATCGAGCTGTGCAGGTCGACACCTGGAAGGTGACGAAACCATAAAGTATAGTGATGTGGAAAATATGAATAAATTTAAACTTAAGAGTGCCTAAAGAAGAGAGTGCACTATGAGCGGGAATGAACCCATTTCACACGCGACGTCAGAGCATAAGTAAAGTATAGTAGTGTGGGTAAAGATCATAACCGTAGAGGTAGCCACCTATTCTAAGATTCGTCAAGGATCCTCGTCGATGCGAACTTTCAATAGCTAAAACTTGGAGGGGCGCAAAACAAAAAACGTGAGTGGGCAAAAACAAAGCTTTTGAAAACACATTTCTTTTTCTAAACATAATAACCCCTCACCGTAAAACCCGTATAATTTCCCAGTAAATCAGAATACATACGTAGATAGAAATTATGCTCGAGAGCAATGAAAACCAAGTATATGCCATGTCAAGTATCTCAGTAATATATATGTAAGCTAGGTGAAATGATATGTTAGCCGAAGTCACATAACGTGACATGTACAGCTAGATCTATAGCTCATAAACCAATTTCCTGCACACGAGTAGGAACCACCTAATGTGGTCTGTACGACAGGGCTAGGTGTATATAAGTACGCTCAAGTGCTACGATCACGTGAAGACTGTGCGAATAATCGCGGGTCACCTACGAGTCGGAACCACCTATTGTGGTCTGTACGATAGGGATGTGCACCAAACTTGGATCCAAGGTGAGTGTACGGTGCGGGAGGTGAACATCACGTGAATGACTGTGCCCTGACCACGGGCAGGAGCACTACCACCGGGGTGCAGGATAATGAGCTCTAAATGCATCTACGTATAACATACACAATGCAACCACCATTATCATAATATACTCACCTGAAACTTACTTGGGCCTCTGCAACATCATTCAGTAGTATGCAAAACCATTCTAATGCAAATACTAAAATATAATGCATCCTTGACATGGCATTTAAATCGTAAATTCATTTAAAAACAATTTATGGGAATCGTAAAGCATATATACATACATATAGAAAACAAAAGCCCACTCACCTGGATTCTGTGCTACAACTCCCTAGTACACACATCGAGGCGTCACGAAGGATTGGCGTCTAGAATAATTATCAAATCATGTCTCATAAATCTTATCGATAGAATACATCATTTGTATAAAACGCATCCCTACGTAATTCGATCCGAAAAATTCGCATCACGGATTACTAATCCAATACTTCCAAAGTTTCACATTATGCTTCTAGAACAACATCCTAAAGTTTCAAAACGATCCAACGGTCAAGTCTTCGCCAATTGCCAAAACCAAATGGCGGTCGACGTTTTATTTTATGAACTTACAAATCCAATTTTGGAAGATCCGTACGTCGGATTCCCAATCTGTAAGTTCCAACATTCTTCAAATATTACATACAATAACGTATTAAAGTTTGGTGACGATCCAACGGCCGGATCGTCGATGCATATATTGACCTATTAACCTATCGTAGAGAATTTAGATTCCAATGATCAACCTACTTCATACGATTACCAGAATTGAACTCAAGGCATCTAATTTAGCCTAAGAATAGTATCGATGGCCCCCTAGCCACGCGCCGCCGTGGGGTGGCGGTCAGCCGCCCCGACTCACCGGAAATATCTAACTATTTCCAAAAATTACCAAAATTTACAGGAATGAAGATCTCAATGAGTAGAGTAACTTTCATAGATGTGACCAAGGCCAATTAGGCCGGGAAGAGCTCCAATTTTGCTAAAAC